AAGACGTGGATGTGGGGGCAACAATGAATTGTGTCAGATATGAGGTATTATGGAAAGACAGAATTGTTTCAAGCTGAGATGGATGCAAATGCCAAATAGTCCCATGAGAAGGCATAGTCCCTGGGAAATCTATTTGAATGACACTGGAAGTTCCTCCACCAACAGAGAAGTAAAGCACATTCTCAGATGACAGAGTAGTAACTACCAGAGACATACTGACCAGGGAAGAGTTAGAAGAACTCTTAAAATTGTCCCCAATGGGGCTGGGGATGTGGCTCAAGCGGTAGCGCGGTCGCCTGGCATGCGTGCGGCCCGGGTCGGATCCTCAGCACCACATACCAACAAAGATGTTGTGTCTGCCGAAAACTAAAAAATAAATATTAAAAATTCAAAAACAAATTTGTCCCCAATGGGCTGATGACTGCCCAAAGTCACACAGAAATCATTTCCAATGTGCTTAAGTGTCCTAAACAGCAAAACTTTAAAATGATTTAATTTCTGAAAGGGGAAAAAATTATTTTGGAAGGTTTTTGTTTGTTTGTTTTTGAGCAACATATGCAAATTTTCTGTAGGGTCACCACACAAAATGGTGGGGACTGTGCCTTAGGGACAATTTGGGTTTCTTTAAATATCAAATGGGGGGCTGGGGTTGTGGCTCAGTGGTAGAGTGCTCACTTTGTATCTGTGAAGCACTGGGTTTGCTCCTCAGCACCACATAAAAATAAATAAATAAACATATTGTGTCCATCTACAACTAAAAATCTATTTAAAATAAATATCAAATAGATTTTCTTAGGGACAACTTTAATTTTAATATTTCAAGGGTGACTAAATGTACACTTAAGAGCCTTAGTGCACCTTCATATCATCTCCACTGCATACTTCTGCAGATGTTGTTGATTTTACAAACTTCTGTGTTTCCAAAAACTGACTTAACAGGCATTAGCTAACAATACATCACCGGSGTGTCTAAAATGACAACTGCCTCTTTTTTGGGGGGGTGCTGGTGGGCAGGACTGGGGATGCAACCCTGGCCTCTTATGTGGTAGGCAAGCAGTCTACTACTGAGCTACATCCCTAGCCTGACAGCTGCCATTGTAAGAGAAATTCTTTCCAAATTAAAAATACAATCAGTATTGTATTTTGTCWTTTTCAAAAGGCTTTTCCTACTTGCTTTCTTCTTCCACCCAGTTCTTTCAAACAAGTATTTACATGGATTATYCTGTTACTAGAATAGAATTATTATTTTTTAAAGCTTGTTTAATTTACCCAGTACACTGTGAGATAATTAAGGGCAAAGTCTATAACCTGTGGCACCTAATTCAGAGCCTGATGGAATCCTTGGCAGTYAGCCAAAGTTGTTTAAAACACAGAGACTGGGTAGATCCATATGATGGATGGAATATTATTCAGCCAAAGAAAGAACAACATACTGATACACGTGTGCCACATGGATGAACCTTGAAAACTTTGCTAATTAGAAGAAATCAGACACAAAGGACAGATCTATGTGAAATGTCCAGAAGAGCCAAATGCATAGGGACAGAAGATTACTGGTTGCCATGGCTGGGAAAGGGGAATGGGAATTAACTGTTAAGGGCCTTGGGGTTTCTTTTTGAGGTTATAAAAAATAATCCAGATTTAGATAGTGGCAGTGGTTACCCATCAKGTAAACATATCAGAAACCACTGAAGAGTACACTTTAAAAGAATGAATTTTATGTTATGTAGGTTATATCTCAACTTTGTGTGTGCATCATGCTGGACTTGAACCCAGGTCCTCTGGCATGCTAGGGAAGCTCTTGCCCAGTGAGCTGCAGCCTACCCCTAGCATCTTCTCAGTTCTGTGTGTGTGTGTGTGTGTGTGTGTGTGTGTGCGCGCGCGCACGCGCGCGCTGGGGACTGAACCCAGGGCCTTGTGCATGCAAGGCAAGCACTCTACCAACTGAGCTACATCCCCAGCCCAAATCTCAGTTCTCTTAAAAGCAAAGGAAGAGGGGGAAATCAGCATTTCTTTACAGATGAAAAGATAAGAGATCTCTAATTTTCCACGTGGAAGGGAGATACCATTGTGAAATGTCCAACTTCTCCAGTGGGAGCACTATGCAAACTCAAAGTTTGTTGTTGTTGTTGTTGTTTTAGATGTCTCCTTCTTCTATTTGTTTTTCAAGATATAAACTGATGAAACAAATAGAGTTCRAATTTCAAAGAAAAGCTCCTTTTCGGAAATGAAATGTGAAGGATGACACAATGTCAAAGTGAGGAGAAGGGCTGGGGGTGCAGCTCAGTTACAAAGTGCTTGCCTAGCAGGCATGCATRAGGCCCTGGCTTCCATCCCCAGCACCAGGGAAAAAAATATTTTTTWWWAAATAAAAGGAGAAGGTAAGGCAATCCAGGAATTACTGCCCTGTTCATTTTTCTGTTGGCTGTTCGTTCGCGTTGTGTAAAACCTCCATATAAAAATTTCTAACTTGTGAGCACAGACCTAGGCAACAGCTTTCTCAAAAGAATGAATATGATTGATGCTGTTTGCCCATGGTGATTGGAGTGCCCGGGGCAGACTGGGATATAGTTTTTATTGTTATTTCTTTTTAGTGTTTTATTTGACTGTCAAAGATTGACTCAGCCACCTTAATCCACCAGAAAGGGAAAACCAACAAAGCCAAGTARTTCCAGATGGCAATTTTGGGCTCATAACTCAGGTGGTATCAGTAATAGCATGCTAACAGCAATTCCAACTGGTGGGTCTGTCATCCTTAATGCACTGTGTTTACTAGATAGAAAATCCAGAGGTTGGGAGAGTGGTTCCAGGATAAAGGCTTGCCTAGCCTAGCATCCATGCGGCCCTGGATTCCATGCTCAGCTCCACAAACAAAGAACAGTCTATAAACACAAAGTACATCTGTCATAACTATAGCCTGAAGTATTTCTGTTTCCCTTCAAGGATCCCAATTATGACCGATTCTGTCTCATGGAGTCCATCCATCAATTCATCACCATGTTTCTTTAACTCATCTTGTCACCTAAAAATGAAACTTCCTTCAAAATATTTAAATAGTAGGAATGGAAAAGAAAACAGAGCTCTTGTAGCCATTTCCAGATATCTTTCTTCAAAGTTTTCTGACTTCAAAATTCAACATTATACTTTGGTATAAAAAAGTAGCTTGAACAGCGTATTGTTTCTCTTTGGTCTCCTGTATGTGTGTGCGTGTATGTTTGTGTGCACACACTGATTCATGTTGAGTAGAGGAAAGTTTTAGATTCACACTTTCAGAAAGCCTAATTTTACTTGGACATTACAAATCATTAGTTAAAACTCCATGGCTTAGGCTGGGGATGTGACTCAAGCGTTAGCGCGCTCGCCTGGCATGTGTGCGGCCTGGGTTCCATCCTCAGCACCACATACAAACAAAGATGTTTTGTCTGCCGAAAAACTAAAAAATAAATATTAAAAATTCTCTCTCTCTCAAAAAAAATAAATAAAAAATAAAACTCCATGGCTTTCAGTGTAGTGATTTCCAAACTTAATTCCTTAACCCAAATGTCTTTTTTTTCCCACTAAAACAAAGCTTAACAAGGAAACCCTAAGACAGAGGTGTATGTTAGCAAAAATGTACTTCTTTAGTCATAATTTGAATTTTATGAAAAATAAACGTTGAAATCAATTAGAATTATAAGGACACCTCAGTTAATTCAAAACTTTCAAACTGAAATCTGAGCTGAAAGTTACCATCATGTACCAACTTGAACAATTAACACTTTCTTTGCTTTGACTTGATGGTGTCACATCTAACTTCAATGGCCATAGAGCTGATGTGCAGTAGCCTTTAAGTAATTCTCCTCTGCCATCACTGTACAGTGATCCCTTAAAGATGACAGGAGAAAGTTATTCTGAGCTCCACATTCAAATCAGTTCAGTTATTAGGTTAACTCAAGTTAATATGTGGGCAGGCTAGTATTTGCTAGTCAACACATTTGAAGTATTCAATTTAATCACAGATTCTACTGTGAGTTTTGGAATGGAATTTGAATCATTTATTAGATGCCTGAAGCATCACATCAGGGTTCCACAGAGCAGTTTGACAATCACAGTGCTATGTGAACAGGATAAATTGGAAAAGCTGGTACTGGTTCTTTGGCTTTTTGCCCTACATGCCCCCAGTGAGCTAGACAGAGAAGTGTACCTGTAATCTAAAGAGCTCATGTCATAGCATTCATCACCTCACAGCAAAAGTATCAAAGGGTTTAAAGTGACAATTTATCACTATTCAAAATGCCATTCAGCCCAATTGGGAACAAGTTATAATAAACACAGGCTACAGGGCTTAATAATTAAAGGAATATTAAAAGGATGGGGGGCTGACAAAATGGAAGAGTCATCATGGGCTATTGTAACGTGCCCTCTGCTCCTCAGTGTTTGATAAAGGATTGGCCATGGAGTTCTGGTGTGCCACACCACTGCTGCCCTGGCCTGTGGAGCGTTACCTTCTGACAGCATGCTGAGGGCCTCATCAGAAGTGTGTCCCCCGACTGGAGCCACCTTCCTGCAAGYGAGGTTTTCAGGACGCACGCAAGAGCCCACCACCTCGGCTGCTGAAGTCGTCATGGATTCCCACTGGATCACCATCTTGGGAGACTGGAGACCCATGCAGCATCCTGTCCAGCCATAGAAGGCCAGAGACAAGAGGAAGCCCTGGGCGGGATTCAGTATCCCCTGGGAGAAAAGGCAAAAAGACGCAGCAGTCGGTGAAGCAGGACAGGAAGAGCCTTCAGTTGCCACATRGTGCCAAGCTCCACTCAGGCGCCCACTGGGCTGCCCTCACTCGGAACCAGTGGGTTGTTTGGTTTGGGGCAAGACTAAGATTGGCCATCGTAAGTTCTGTATCTCCAAGGGCTGCCTGAAAATAGAGGAAGTGGGGAGAGTGCGAGGGAGAGAAGAGAAAGGATGGGTGGGGGCCAGAGAAAGAGAAGGGGAGGATGAAGAGGACCAGCAGRAGAGGAGAGGAGAAGAAGGGGAAGGAAAGTGGGGGAGAGGAAATGCAAGCAAGGAAGGTGATAGAACCAGCCATCTTGGACCTCTGCTGCCCTGTGGCTTTCCAGCTGGTGCTGCCAGGTCAGAATTTGATTCAGTCAAGGTTCTTGGGGTAACATTACTCCATAGAGCTAGCCAGAGGAGCCATGTGAAGCTCTCAGCCAAAACACACAGATCAAGAGGGCTCGTGTGGGCTTATGAAAGTCATCTCAAGTGACATTTTTCCAAATTCAGAACAACATAAATAACAATTTTGCATGGCTCAGAGCATACCTCTCTGCCAACAGCTCCTAATACACATGAAATGTGATGAAAATACGGGGGAGGGGGGTGTACAGTATTTTTACACATGTTTTTTATGTAATAGTAATTAATCTCAATTTTATAGGCTACATTTTCCAGTTAATACAGAGACTTCATAATCATCGTTTTTAACTTCTGGGTCACATTCAACAAGACRAAAGCCAAGGGCTGGGATATAGCTTGGTGGTAGAGTGTATACTGAGCAGATACCAGGCCCKGAGTTTAATCCCTGGCACCCCAATTTTAATTAAAAAKGAAAAAGAAAAMACAAAATATGAAAGACCATAATTTACTTTGACATTTGGGTTTCCAATAATGCTTTAGAATTTTATATAATGCTGGGCCAGGCATGGTGACATGCRCCTATTATCCCAGCTACTAGGGAGGCTGAGGCAGGAGGATCACAAGTTTGAAATCAGCCTGGAAAACTTAGCAAGACCCTGTCTCAAAATTTGAAAAACAGAAAAGACTGTGGATGTGGCTCAGTGGTACAGTGCTTGCCTAGCATGCATTCTGTACTTGATCCCCAGGATTAACAACAACAATAAAAAAGATGATAAAAGTGCTCTACTACTGAGTTATACCCCTGACTCTCTTTTTAATGATAATCACTACAATGAATGAAACTTTCTCAGAAGTTCACTAAGCCAAATGTAGGTAGTCCAAGAACCTACTTGCCTCATTGTATATTTATATAAACATCATACTTCTCAATGTTCTTTTTTTCCTTCCAATTTTTTTTTCAAGAAGAAACTTAAATCTAGATTAGCTTACCATAATAAACCATGTGGTCTTGGCTGCATCTCTGACACGTTTCAAAGAGCCTGCATTGATATCTGGTTGCATTTCAAGGTAGAATAAAAGGCTTTCATTGATTATATTGGACAGCCAACTGTTAAAAAGACAATGGCCCACAGGTGAAGAGAACATGCCACAAAAATTCATTTTAAATGCTAAAGATCAGGGACTGATCTTTGCCACACTGTGTATGTGCCAATTCTAGGTAGAGAGCTGATCACTTGCACAGCAAGCAACTGAACCAGCACACCAAGAATTTATTTAAGGAAATGTAATTCCTTCTCTCAGTCTAACACAGAGATCCACAAATCCTTCCCATGTTAACACTCAACACCACATCAACATGTAAGGTATCAAATAACCCAGAATTCAGTCTTGGTTTGAGGAGCAACCTCAAGATTTTAAGATGAAGAATTTACTTTGACATTTCACGCTGAAATTTTTAAATGTTACTCTTGGGGGTCAGTGAAGTTTGAAACAGTGATCTAAGTGTATTTTTACTGGGAGGTAATTTCTGCCTCTCCTAGGAGCATGTCCAAACAAATCCCTTCATATCAGGTAGATTATTAACACCACAAGGCTTGCTCTGACTGAGAAAGTTATTCACCACATTACAGGGTGTTACCATTCCAATTTTTTTTTTTTTTTTTTTTTGTGGTGCTGGGGATTGAACCCAGGGCCTTGTACATGCAAAGCTCCAATTTTTTTTTTTTTCATTGGTTATAAGTCTATTTTCAAAGCATCCATCTGAAACATTTGGGTAGGACACCAGACATGGAAAATCTCAGCAAAAGAAATTTGCTAACCCTTTCTATCCAGCTTTGACTGAGCTGAATCTTTACACTGGAGATGTGTCCTCACCCCTCTATCGCACACAGGAATTCTGGTGTCAAAAACAAGACCAATGGGTGCATTTAAAAAGCATGGGGCTGGAGATATAGCTCAGTTGGKAGAATGCTTGCCTCACACGCACATGGCCCAGGATTAAATCCCTAGCACCACAAACAAACAAACAAACAAACAGGACCACCTCCCTCATTTTGGTTAATCCCAGAATCCCAGCAAGGGGTTACACATAGTTGTTTCAAAATTAAACTCGGAACCTCTTATTCTTAGGGCTTTATGCCTAAATCAAGTAAATATTTTCAGTTTTTGCCACAAATTCAGAATTCCAGACTTGCTCAGAGATGTCCCTTCCAGATGCTTCCCTTAAGAACTCACAGGTCACACATGGAAAAGAAAAATGTCAAGTGGTTTGCAAATCCCATCCCACTGGCAATTAAAAAAATATAGTTACCAAGCGATTAAAACCAGCATTATTTTGAAAAACCGGATCTTGATCACAGCTCCCATTCGCCTCTCGTTCTCTGTGTAAATGCCCTGTCTTCCTTTCAGTAAAGAGGCCACTGTGAAGAGCACAGAGGAATGACATACTTACTGTGTTCATCATTCTTATTTATTTCATAACAGAGAAGGGCATCAAAGTAGGTGTGAGCCCATAAGCAAGGCCAGAAGATCTAAAGCGAAGCAAGTTATTGACGTCACTCTCCCAGCTACCTATGTGAAGTCCTTATAGGATCCAAGGAATATGTATTTTAAATAACTTGAGATTTACTATATGCCCATTCCCTTTAGTCAGCTTCCTCTGATGTTAACATCAAACACAAYACAGGATACTTGTCACAACTAAGAAAATAACCCTGATACATTAGGAACTAAACTTCCAATTTTATTGGATTTTACTAGTTCAGGTATTTTCTTTTTTATAAAATAAGGCACTTATTATTTTAAAATGTTGAAAATTTAACATTTCTTCTTAGAAACAGGTTAGAACACCTACCAAAAATGTTTGGAGAACAATTAAATAGAGCTGGGTGCAGAGGCACAGACCTGAAATCCCAGAGACTCAAGAGGCTGAGGCACGAGGATTGCAAGTTTGAGGCTAGGCTCAGCAACTTACTGAGACACTAAGCAATTTAGTAAGAGTCTGCCTCAAAAAAATATAAAAATAAAAAGGACCGGGGATGTGGTTCAGTGACTAAATGCTTCTGGATTCAATCCCTAGTGTAAAGTGTGTGTGTGTGTGTGTGTGTGTGTGTGTGTGTGTGTTTAATTAATGCCTGAAGGTTTAGCTTAGGGGTAGAATACTTGCCTAGCATGTGCTAGGCCGTGGGTTCAGTCCGGGGGAGAAAAAAAAAAAAAAGAATGGTCAGTGGTCCCTCCCACAAAGACAACTACTGCTACCACTGCAGTATATTTCGTTTTTGTTCTTGTTCTGCAGGACTGATAATTGAACCCAGGGTCTCATGCATCCTAGGTAAGCACTCTACCACTGGACTTCCACCTGTAACCCCCTCAGTGTATTTCTCTACAATGTTTTTTAAGTCATTTTTTTGTGTTCCATATAAGCAAGTCATTATACAATTTTGAAAAAAATAAATTCTCTTATTTAATGCACTATATTTAAATGCACATAGGAAAAGACTCTTCCAAAGAATAACAGATGTTATTAAAAAGTTCTATAWTCAGGAGCTTCCCCSTTTYGTTAAGGTGGACTTCCTCACTCCAACTCTGCCCTTGAGAGATCCAAGGCAGCCTGAGTAGGTGGGAACTCTCTCCAGGTCACGCTTTCTTGAGGAGACGACAGGGCCGGAATGCAGGTTCCCAGTCCTGGCCCAGAGTCTCTCTGCTGACTCGCTACGTTACGCTTATCTAGTTTTTACCAACCCAATGACTCATTTCCTGTGTTCCACTTCCTGTTTCCTGCCTGTCTGAGAACTGGCATAGGCCAAGTGCATTATGGGAGAGTCTGGACTAGGCCAAGTGCATTATGGGAGTGTCTGGACTAGGCCAAGTGCATTATGGGAGTGTCTGGACTAGGCCAAGTGCATTATGGGAGTGTCTGGACCTCTCTGTCCACGCCTCATCCCTTCCCCGATCCACTTCACTCTCCTGCTCCTGTCTCACCTCTGCAGTTTTCCAAAGCCACCTTCAGAGCCTACAAGCGTGCCAAGGGCAGACCCAGGGTGAGCTACACACAAAAGTGAAAAATCAGCTAGTCCTGGCCTTAAGCTAACAAACACTGGCAAACATGTAGTGCTCAACTAAGTATGCTTTCTGCTCAGTTTTACTTAGTAAACCTGTTCACCGTCTCCAACTGATTCTGCTTATGTCTCTGGAGGATGATGAGTGAGGTCCATTGTCCTGGATCATTCCAGAAGGACAACATGTTATCATCTCAGCCCAAGAGATGGAGCTATACCCCATGGCCTTGTACCCAGAGAACTTCCCTGCTACTTACCTGCTGTCACTGTCTTTTGGAACAAGACAGGGTTAGCTACCAGAACGAGCAGCAGTGGCAGGTACGTGGTGATATAGTGTGGGATGGCATGGTCAAGGCCTCTCTCACACCTGAGGGAGGAACAGCAAATCATTCTTCTTGAAAGAAAAGCTTTGGCTGAAATATACCCACTTATCTGCAGGCTGAGATAAGAGGATAAGAACAAAAAAAGAAATGCATAAATCTGCCCAGACTCTAAAGAAATCAGACTCATTTCTCATGTCCAAGAAGAAGCAATAAATTTCAGGAGACTCGGGGAGATTGTTCATGTTTCTGTCCTATAAATAGGAGAGCCTCTGAAGCTTTCCAGTGGGGGCAGCTTTTAAAGATCACTACTGGCCCAGGCATGGTGACTCATGCCTGTAATCCCAGCAACTCAAGAGGCTGGGGCTGGGGGATTGCAAGCTTAAGGCTAGCCTCAGCAACTTTGTGAGAACCTAAGCAATTTATGGAGACCCTGTCTCAAAACAAAAAAATAAAAAGGGGTGGCGATATGGTTAAATGCCCCTGGGTTCGATACTCAGTACAAAACAAACAAACAAACAAAAAACCCTACTGGAAGAGGTAAGAAAGGAAAAGAAATCTGGGATGGTAGATGATTCTTTGCACTAGGTCTCTTCAAAGGGAAAACACACAATTTGGAGACAAAAGCACTAATTAGCTAGTTAGGTTTTGAGTACTTACTACATAATCTCAGCCGATAACATGAAAAAAAATCCAGTCCTTGTCCTTGATCTATTCAAATGTATGACCTTCATATGTCAAAGGAAATTCCTTCTCACATTAGGAGTAACAACCAACTCTTCAGTGGTTCTTTTCAGGGAAAAGGACTAGGATTTCTACTGATGAGTCGTAAGCATCATGAGTCACCATAGGACATGGTGGTAAGAGGAGGTGGTGAAAGCCATTGATATGTTACCAATAGGGACCATCAACTAAGATACACAGAAAGTCAATGAGAGAAAAATGGCACAGAGGAAATGATAAATGAAGAAAGGGGACAGAGGATGCCTGAGGCCCAATCAGAGAGAGGCAGAAGTGTCCCTGTGGCCCTGGAAGGTACCATCATCAAAATGAAAATGCTCTTAATACTTAACATTAATATTTGTGTGGTGGTCAAACACCTTACCAGGCTCCACATGGTCTGGACAGACTCTAGGGAAGTATGGGAAGCAGGAGAGGAGTGGGAGTGGCAGATTCCATTGCAAAGATGGAAATCAAGTGGCCAATGAGAGAGTGAGGATGTGGCTACAAGAATGCCAAGAGGTCTGCACTGCAGGATGTGAGGATTAAGAGATGATGATCTCTTAATGATGACTAAGGTGTCACACCCCTGTGATCCCAGCCACTCGGGAGGCTGAGGCAGGAGGATTGCAAGTTCAAGGCTAGCCTCAGCAACGTAGCAAGATCTTGCCTCAAAATTTAAAAAATGAAAAGGACTGGGGGTATAGCTCAGTAGTAAAGAACTCCTGGGTTCTATCCCTGGTACTCCCTGGAGCCCCCTAAAAAAAAGGAGAGATAGCCAGTTACAGATTAAGACACTTAGATCAGGTGGCCTCCTGGAGCCCATAGGAGCACCTCAGGGTTCCCTATGAGCCAGCCCTGCAGCATGGTGCCCTCAGGCTCCAAGGTAATTTTTCTAGAAATCACCAGGGTCCCACAGGTGAGGGCAAGTAAAAGAAACTCCCTTTCCTATTAAGATCCTTCTGTTAGAACAGCTGTGACACTGTGTCTGTCCTTTTGAAGTTCCCCATGAAAAGTGACCATACCAGACTTCCACACATTCTGGACAGACTCTAGGGGAGTCGGGAAGCAGGAGAGAGCTAGCTAGCTCTCTGTCAATATCCACAGTTGACAAGGCAACACCAATTTGAGATGTCTGAGTAGCTGTGAGAAATCAAAAAACTGGGGAGGAATGACCAACACTATGAGTCAACAAATTTTTTATATAAAGAGAGATAATAAAGCCAGATGGGGTGGCACATGCCTATAATCCCAGCTACTTGGAGGCTGAGGCTGGCAAGTTTGAGGCTACACTCAGCAATGTGGCAAGACCCTGACTCAAAAAAGGGCTGGAAATGTAGCTCAGTGGTAGAGTACCCATGGAATCAATCCCCAGTACCACAGGAAAAAAAATATTTCTTTTTCTTCAGTTTCATAGGGTACACCATGGTCTCTTGCAACTACTCAATTCTGATTATATCACAAAAGCAATCACAGTTGGAACATAAATAAATGGGTGTGGCTGTGTCCCAGTAAAATTTCATTTAAAATAACCAGCCAGACGTGATTGCACAAACCTGTAATCCCAGTGAACCAGGAGGCTGAGATAGGAGGATGGCAAGTTTGAAGCCAGCCTCCTCAATTTAATGAGAGTCTGTCTCAAAATAAAAAAAAATAAAAAGGGCTGGGAAGGTAGTTCCAGGGACAATGCACTATTGGATTCAATCCCCAGTACCCAAATTAAAATATAATAAAATGAAAACGGGTCAAGGGCCAGATTTGTCCTAAAGGCTATACTATGATGATCTGTGTGTGACCTACACAACCCTCAAATCACAAAAAGACACTGTCCACCTGTTTTCCAGTGGAAGTGAGAGCCTACATCCTTGGTTGGGCTTTGAGACCTTGCAAATGATGGTACTGATGGGATTTTAAATGAAGAAATGCCTGAGACAATTCCAGAACCACATTCCTCTGCATCTGTGTTCAGGGTAGTCAAGAGCATAGGATGGGAGAGGCATAGAGTCAGCTTCCAGGAGCTTTCCTTGCCTCGGCCACATCACTTCTAACTCATCCTCAGAATGTTAAACTTGCCTGATCTTTCAGTGTTAAAGAAAAGGTGTGAGGAAGCTATGGCAAGATGGAAGGGGCTGTCCCTGCATCTTTCTAGCTACGAGAGGGGGTATAATCTGCGCAAGCACGCTGTATGCTCAGGCACCCACCCACCCAAATGAGAAAGACAGACCCAGGGAAAAGATCTGGGGAGCAAGGATGCAGTGAGCACACCGTCTCTCAGCTAGATGGGTCTGTGAGCGTGGCCTCCCTGGGTCAAGAGGATGAGCTGAGCGCCAAGGCACCCACTGTGTGAGTCAGACCCGTTCATTTTCTATAAGAACTGGGCCACTGAGGCTTACCTGGACACAGAGGGGTAGTACAGCATGACAGCTCCCTCTGCACAGAGCAGGAGGGCCAGGCCCCAGGCCATGATGTGGTACAACACGATGGTGCTAGGAGAGAAGCAGAACAGGGTGGCACTGCTCAGAGGAGGACAAAGGGGCCTGGCAAAGAAACTACCAGACCAGCCACCAGGGCAGCTTCTGAACCAGGAAAGGTAGGAGCAAAACCACCCTCCACAGAGGTGTAGTGCTGCCAAGGGCACCAATGTGTGTGCTTATTTTTCAGTTGAGGTGAAATTGACATAATATAACATCAACTATTTAAAGAGAACAACCCAGGGACACAATGTGGTTCAATTGTTCTAGAACATTTTATCTTCCCCAGAAGGGAAGCTCGTACCCATTAGCAGTCACTCCCCATTCCCTCCAGCCCACAGTCCCTGACAGTCACCGATCTGCTTTGCTTTTATGAGTCTGGCTGTTGTAGACATGTCACAGCTTCATTTATTTTTATGACTGAATAATATGAATAGACCACATTTTATTTATCCATTCATCCATCAGTGGACGTTCTGATTGAATACTGCTACTCCGAACATGCACATAAAACTATTTGAGTTCCTATTTTCAATTCTCTGGGGTTGTATACCTAGAAGAGGAATTGCTGAATTATGTGGTATCTTTGTGTTTATGTTTTTCTTTTTTTTTTCCTTTCTTTCTTTCCCAGWGCGTGGGATGGATCCCAGGGCTTGCACATGCCAGCCACGTGCTCTACCATTGAGCTACACGCCCAGCCTCTCTCTGCTTAATTTTATCAGAAACCAGAGTCTCYACATCTTTGTCAACAGTTTTTGTTTTCCACTTTTTTTTTTAATAGGATCTCACCATTTGCTCTGGCTGGCACCAAACTCTGGGGCTCAAACAGTTCTCCTGCGTCAGACTCCTGAGTAGCTGGAACTACAGATGTACATCACCTTGCCTGGCTTCAAGTTTGGTTGTTGCTATTCTCATGGAAATGGCTGCTATTTTTGAGACTTGACTAAGTAGGCCCCACTCTCCATAAAACCATAGAATAGGTTCATTCCGTCTATAGTACCCTCCAGGGACAGTACTGTTCAGTTCTCATCAGCTCTGGTCTGAATATTTGGATCCCCACAAAATTCCTGTGTTGAAATCCTAACCCCAAAGGTGTAGCATTATAAAGTGGAGTCTTTGGAGAACTAATGAAGTCACAAGAGTAGAGACTTTATGGATAGGATTATTGCCTTTTATGAAGGAGGCCCAGGAGCTCCCTGCCCCCTCCACCATGTGAGGACAGTGAGAAGTGGCCATCTATGAACCAGGAAGAACACGTACCAAACATTGAATCTGCCATACCTTGACCTTGGACTTCCAGCCTCCAGGACTATAAGAAATATTCTCTGTGTGTGTGTAGGAATACCGGAGATTGAACCCAGGGGCACTCTATCTCTGAGCTACATCCACAGACCTTTTTATTTTTGAGACAGGGTCTTATCTTAAGTTGCCAAAGTTGGCTTCAAACTTATGATTATCCTGCCTCAGTCTCCTGAGTCACTTGGAGTTATAGATCTGTGCCACCATACCTGGCTTAAGAAATGCATCTCTACTGTTTATAAGTCACTCAATTTATGGCATTTTGTTATAGCAGCCCAGATAGACTGAGACATTATATTGCCCAACCTTCTATTACTATAACAAATATCTGAGATAATGAATTTATAAAGAAGAAAGATTGCATGGCATGGTGGCTTATGCCTGAAATCTTAGATACTGAAGAGGTGAAGGCAGGAATATCTCAATTTTGAGGCCAGCCTGGGTGACTTAGCCAGACCCTGTCTCAAAAGTAAAAATAATAAAAAGGCCTAGGAATGTGGCTCAGTGGTAGAGGACCTCTGGGTTCAATGCCCAGTATTGGACCAAAGAAATTAGAGAGAGGTTTTATTTTGGCTCACAGTTTTAGAGTTTTCAGCCTGTGACTGGTTGTGCTTGTTGCTTTGAGCATATCATGGTAGGATCAGGATAGAGTAAAGCCACTTATTTCTTGGTTAAGAAGCAAAAGAGAGAAAGAGGAAGGTGATAGGATCCCACTGTCTCCTTCAAGGGCATGACCCCAATGACCTAAAGACCTGCCAGTAGGCCCCACCTCTTAAATTTCCACCACCTCCCAATAGCGCCAAGCTGTGGGCCAAGCCTTGGGACACCTGGGCCTTTGGATGACAATTAAGATCCAAGCTATAACATCCACCATCTCAGGGGCATGGTACACAAGCCTTATCCCCCCAATCCTCCATCCCCAACAACCTCCCCTCTTATTCACCCTGTACCCCAACTCCAGGGAGAGACCTGAGGTTGTACAGGTCCCCTGAGGTTGTCCCATCCCTGAATCCAAACATCCAGGTGACTACTAATAAAGCATTTCCTTAGCAAAACCCACTAYTCAGAGCCTTGGGTCGCTTTTCCCGGTCATGTGAACAATATAGCCCTCTGTGGYCTGCCCTTGCCACTGTGGTAAAGGCCAGGTGGACCTCAGGCCATGTTGTTCCCTGCCACTTACACTATTGCCCAAGGCAGGCTGGCCATCCCTGGTCCTCCACCCACTTTTCCCATCAGACTGACCTTGGCCTGCATGCCCACCTGTCTTGAGGCACTGTAAGGGGCACAGTAAGTTTAAGAGCAGTAAGGAGACCCCAGAAATTGACAGCATCCTATTAACAGTGAAACTCAAGAAACACAGCCACTCTTGAATCTTCATTTGACTGCAACTTTTTTTTTTTTATTTTTGGGTACTGGGGATTAAACCCAGGGGTACTTAACCACTGAACCACACCCCAGTCCCTTTTATTGTTTATTTTGAGACAGGGTCTTGCTAAGTTGTTCAGGCTAGCCTCGAACTTAAAATCCTCCTGCCTCAGCCTTCTGCAATGCAATATTCTGTAGAGAACAGGAATGGCCATGATAGCATAAGCTTCGTATACTCTTAAGCTGTATGATGGATATCAGGTATGTGCAAAGGGAAGGTCCACTTAAAAGGAATGAGGTGCTGATATCTGCTACAATATCGATRAACTTTGCATACATTGTATCAAGTGAAATAAGCCAGACACAAAAAGGCCACACAGTGCCTGATTCCCTTTATGTGGGGAATGATGGATAATGGGTACAGAGTTTCTTATGGTGGTGGTAGAAATGTTCTGGAATTAGTAGTTGTACTGATTGATGTATTATTTTGTGAATGTCTTAAAAGCCACTGACCTAGGGGCTGGGGCTGTAGCTCAGTGGCAGAGCGCTTGCCTTGCATGCATGAGGCCCTGGGTTCAATCCTCAGCACCACATAAAAATAAATAAAATAAAGGCATTCTGTGAATCTGCAACTACAAAAAGAAAAAAAGAAAAAGAAAAGCCACTGACCTGCACACTTTTAAAGGATGATTATTTTGGTATGACTATTACATGTCAATTAAAAGAGTATCATGGAGATTGGGCTTGTGTCTCAGTGTAGAGTGCTTGCCCAGCATGTGAGAGGCACTGGGTTTGATCCTCAGCACCACATAAAAATAAATAAAGGTATTTTGTCTATCTACAACTAAAAAATATTTTAAAAATAAAGAGTATCTTGGAGTTTCATCAAGATGATGTCTCGCTCAACATTCACTGGCTAAGTGTTCCCTCAGCGTCTAGAGAGGCACAGAAAGTGCTAAGAATGAAACAAAGTTTCTCCACAGCCCTGACSGGGAAGCTAGGCACAGAGGCTGGGATGCAGAAGAGTTTACATAAAATGAAGGTTGGACCSAAGACACAAAACTATGTTAATAAGTTAAGGTGCCAACACTTATGTTAGCTGGGGCAGGGGTCCTCAAAAATATCTCTATCCTAATCTCCAGCATCTAGGATCGTGTTGCTATATATGGCAAGACACTTTGCAGATGTGATTAAATGAAGGACTTTTGAGATGGGAAGATTATCCTAGATATAGGCATTCTGGATAAATAACCACATGAATCCATAAAGGCAGAGAATCTCGGGCTAGGGGTGCAGCTCAGCAGTAGAGTACTTGCTAGCATGTGTGAGGCCCTGGGTTCCATCCCCAGGATCATAGGAAGAAAAAAAGGCAGATAATCTTTACCAGCTGCAAAGAACTAGAGAGATGGGAGTTTAGAGTCTTACCCACACTTACTGGCTTTGAAGATGGCAGAAGTGGCCACAGRCTAAGGAAGTGGGGCCACAGACTAAGGAAGCTGGGAGGTCAGAGTGACTGGAGCAGAGACAGTGAATGAGAGAATGGACAGAGGGTGTCCACAGGACTGTGTYAGTTTTATTCTAGGTATGATAAGAATCCACCAGAAGATTATTTTCATTTTTTCTAAAAATATATGTATTGCAACAAGATAAAACTTAAAAAGTGGAATCTTAGAGGCAGGATGTTGCTCAGTGGTAGCAGGCATGAGACAGAGTTTCATTCCCAGCATTGCCAAAAAAAAAAAAAGAAAAAAAGTTGAACATGGAAAACAAAACAAGACTCAGTAAAGAATGGAGGGTAGTTTTGGGAAAAAATTATCCAATCCCCGTGACTCCAAAGTTTCTGGGGGAGATGATAGAAAGTGAGGTCAAGGGACTATTCTTGGTTGTGTCTGGTTTCTCTTTACTGAATCTCAGACCTGTGACTGAATCCAACTGGATCTGGAGCAAGCCTGACCTGAATCTGTGGTTCCCCAGATGATGGACATGAATGCCTTGGCTCCCACTCAGCTGGGTTGGCCCCCTTATCTCAACATTGKGAGACCAATGCCTCGTCCAATAAACAAGGACCTTCTCTTCCCATCCTTCTTGAAGGACTTCCTAATATCCAAGGAGACAGGCTGATGCTCAGCCCAGACCAGGAAGGGTATGTGTCCAGCAATTGGTGGTATGAGATATTCCACGAGCCCCCTTTCTTGTCCCACCTCTGCACTCCCCATTCCCTGCATGGTTAGCATTCTTGGACAATCTCTATCATTCATCTTTGTACTTCAACACACCCTGTTCCCCCAGAGGATTTGAGGCTGTGGCCGTCCAGATGCTGTGGGGTAGGCTTCAGTTTGTGTCTTCTCTCTGAGGGGATGGGGAGGGCAGCGAACCCATCAGTCGGGTACACTGGCAGTCCCTCTTAACGCTATTGGGTGCCTGGTAAATTGCATCCCCCGTTTCAGTGGAATTTTCACTCTAAAGATCAGCTGTGTMGACGAAGGGAGTGGTGCTCAGAGATCAGAATGGGAAATGATGCCCTTCTCCAAAGAGATGAGGAGGGAGGGAAACAGAGGYGGCTCACAAAGGGAATGAACTTTGGGAAGAGAGAAAACATTTTGTAGCCAGCTGTCTGGGAGGCCATAAGGAAATGACTCCTTCATAGTTTGCCTCCCACATCGTAACCAGTTCCTGCAGCCGCCCTCCCCTGGCCTCACTGGGAGCATGTGGGGGTGTATCTCAGCAGTGCAGGTTTCGTCTCTGGCTCTCGGGAGATTTAGCGAGCCCGTAGAGACAGCAGCTCTCTGAAAGGGCTGGATTAGTGGATGCAGAATTTCTTCACTCCAGACCCTCTTCTTGGCTGGACAGTGCTGATGGCATCTTCAGAGTGGGGAGTGGGTCTCTGGTCAGACCAAGGAAGTCCAAGGTCAGAGGACATGGGAGACTGGTTAATGACTCTTGCCCATCCTGCAAGACAGCAGTCAGGTCTGGGCCAGCAGGAGCAGGTGGCTCCCACATTAATGGCTGATGCCACTGAAACTCACCCCAGAGTGTGAGTGCCCAACCCAGGGGAGCCCAGGAGCAGCCAGGTCACAGCTGAAGACCCTTGCTCTCTTATCCAACCACTGAATTGTTCCAAGTCCAGGCGAGCGTAAATCCTCCTTGGCCATTAATTCATATCACTCTTTTATTTTCTTAGAGCAAGTAGAGACTTCAGTTCATGGCCATTTTCAAGATCGCAAGTACCACACTGTCTGGTATTATTTAAAACTGGTATGTTTCACACCTGCAGCCAGAATTAGCCACTTAAATTTTGACTTGAAATCTGTCTTAATGATGTTTCTGAGGATTAMAATTTAAAAAACTCCCCCAGCCAAAGAAAACAGCTACGTAAGACAGGATCTCCAAGGCAAAGGGCCATACCTGCAAAGTTTGGCCCCTGCCCTGGAATTCAGCAGGACACCCCCCTGCCCAACCAGCTGCAGTCTCCTATTAGCCATCTTCAGGACCAACTCTACCTGCTGCCCTGGAAAACAAGCTGGCTMTTAAAATGGAGCTACCGAAGCTTTGGAAACTAAACCCTCAGCCCTGGTGAAGTCCATCTAGCAGATGTCCCAGGGGACATCTCCCACCAGGCATCAGGTGAGGCTTTGTGTAAGGGCTACGGAGCACCTCTTACTTATTTGTTGTGTGCCCTGCTCCTGACTGATTAGAGAGCTCATTTCACTCCCGACCATCAGTCATCTGAGGACTGGAAACCTGCCCTTGCTCTTGCCCTTGGAAGGCATAGTGTTTCATGTTCTGGGATGTTCACCTTCTGTGTAAAGACGGGTCCTTGGAAGCCTAACCAGCACCCAGAGTCCTGCCTTCTTGAACACTGAGTTCCAAGATGAATTTCCAAACACATGCCTGTGCCAAGGAGGGCTTCTTGATTACCCGCCCTGAGAGTCCAGACAGTTCTCACACTGTTCCTTCTAACCCAGTCCTGTGACCCCCACCTGCCCTACCAGGGGTGGGGTGAAGTAATGCACCCTCTAATGACAGTGGAGGGCATGCTCTTCACCCGGCTTCCTTCCAGAACTCCCAGGCTCCTCTGATCTCTGTTACTGGCTGTCAGTGAGACCTTCAGTTGTGTCATAGCTCTGACTCCCCAAAACTGATGAGAGAGGCTCTCAGACAGGAACACAGCAATTGTACCAATTTTAGGGATTAGGCCTACTCCTGCTGCTAGTTGCCTATAGGTACCCATTCTCCCTCTTTTCCTTATAACATAACCCAGAAGTTAGACAGAGGAGCAGCATAGTAGGCTAACAGACTATTTCCTATGTCCTCTAGCAACTAAGCACAACCAAGAAACTAATTYTGGCTAATACTATGCAAGTGGCATTGTGTGAAACTCCCAGGGAGGCCTTTTAAAGCTGGCTTGGGAGAAAACAGGCCCCTTCTGTTCATTGATACACTTAGTTTGTTGGGGTCAATCCCCAGCACTGAAAACAYAMTAAATGGATCAACAAAATGTAGTATATACACACACTGGAATATTATTCAGTTATGAAAAGGAATTATCTTAGTCTTTTCTGGCTGTCATGATATTATACCAGAGGCTGGGTGGCTT